CTGCTCCCTCTTCGCCCCCGTCTGCCTCGACCGGCCCGTCTACCCCTGCCGCTCCCTCTGTGAGGTGGTACGTGACTCCTGTGCCCCTGTCATGGAGTCCTACGGCTTCCCCTGGCCCGAGATGCTGCACTGTGGCAAGTTCCCCTCTGACCACGAGCTCTGCATTGCCGTCCAGTTTGGGAACAGCAAAGCCACTCCGCCACCAGGTAAGTGGGAAGGGTACTGTGATGAGATGGGGATGCATGTGGAGCCCCTGCACCCCCATCCCTTCACCCCTTGAAGCATAGCTCGGGACACTGGTACTGGCCAAGGACCCTCTGTCTGCAGCAGAGCACCAGTGGGTGCAGTACCAGCAGCATCAGCTGCTTTGTCTGGACACCACTCATTGCTTGAGGGAGCTGGGGACCCAGCTGCCTGCACAGAACTGCCCCAGGACAGGGAAGAACATGGGATGAGGTGGGAGCCACTGGCAGATCCACCACAGTGCTATCTATATCCTTCTCCTTCCTCTGGGTCCATGCCAGCAGCAAAGAGCATACTGCATCTGTGGGTCTCAGTCCCACGTTGCTGCTGCAGGTGGCTGTGCCCTCAGACAGGGGAGGGTACATCAGCCAAAGGCAGCCCAGGGTCAAGATCGGGGCTGTGACAACACCCTTCAGGCTGGGGCCACCCTCGCTGTCCCTGTGCTTCAAAGCGACAACATCTGGTGGGAGGGCATCCCCATATCCCCTCTGCTGGGGGGGATGCTGGGACACTGGCCAGAGAGGTGCTCTGTGCCCCCCCATTACCCCAGCACAGCTGCCTAGGGAGCAGAGAAGCTGCTGAGGCTCTCCCAAGCAGTCCCCAAGGAGCTGGTCCAGGTGACAAGTATCAGAGCAGGAAGCTGTGACAATGACTAGTCTCTCACCACAGTGTCCAAGATCTGCACCCAGTGTGAGATGGAGCACAAGGCGGATGGCATGATGGAGCAGATGTGCTCCAGTGACTTTGGTGAGTGCTGGGGTCTGCTTCCCAGCCCCCCTGGAGAGGGGTCTGCCTCCCCCAGGTCTGACAGCCCAGGCAGGGGTTGACCAGAGGGTGAGGGTGTATGGGGACAGCCCCATGGGAGATCCCTGGCCATTCCCTGGCCATGGATGGGTGCACCACAAGAGGAGACATTGGTGGGGGGATAGACAGAAAGGGACATGTGGGAGGGTCACTCAATTACCCCTTTCCCCTTCCCACACAGTAACTTCCCCAGAGACCCACCCCAGGGATGGGCTGCACCCTGTTCTGCACAGGTGCCTGGCCCAGACCCTCCCCTCCCCGGTGTCCCAGCAATGCCCCCCTCCCCCAGCCATGCCCTTCGGCTGCCCCACACAGTGGTGAAGATGCGCATCAAGGAGATGACGGAGGAGAACGGGGAGCGGCGGCTGGTGGCTGCCCAGAAGAAGAAGGTGCTGAAGCTGGGCCCGCTCAAACGCAAGGACACCAAGAAGATGGTGCTGCACATGAGGAACGCAGGCGCCTGCCCCTGCCCCCAGCTGGACAGCCTCAGTGGCAGCTTCCTGGTGATGGGCCGCAAGGTGGGCGGCCGCCTGCTCCTCCTGGCCATCTACCCCTGGCAGAAGCACAACAAGGAGATGAAGTTCGCAGTCAAGTTCATGTTCTCCTATCCTTGCCCCCTCTATCACCCCTTGCTCTATGGGGCTGGGCAGCACTAGCACTCTACCCACCATACCCTCTCCCAGGACTCCTGCACTGGCCCAGAACCACATCCCTGGCATCCCTAACTGCACCCCAGGATCCCAGCTCTGCTCACCTCAGCCTCTTGGCTGTGCCCCAGAACCCTCCTCTGCATCCCTAGGATTCCCAGCTGCATTTGTGGGAGCCTTGATCCACAACCAGGACCCCTGCCTCCCTGAGAGCCTTTTTCTGCACCCTTGGGACCCCTGTTCTGCTCCCAGGACCCCTGCCCACATCCAGGAGTTTAGGCTGAACTCAGGACCTTTGCTCTGCATGCTTGTGAGCCCTAGTCTGCACTAGAGACCCCTGGCTACTCCCAAGCTCCCTGCCCAGCAGCCTAGAGCCCCTTGTTTTCATTTAGGATCCTTGCTTGGCCCTCTTGGGACCACTTGGCTGTACCTTGGACCCCCACCCTGTATCAGTGTACCCTGCCCAGCTCCCTCATGACTTGCCCCAGATCCTCAGCCCAAGCAGTCCCTACTCCAGCCCACCAACACATCTCATGCCCTTACCTTGAGCTCACACCCCAGCCCTGGATCTCGCCTTCGCACAGACCCACCCCAGCCAAGGCAGGTCCCTGCTGCCCCACTGTCCCCACAGACTGTTCCCCTCAAGACCAAGTGACCAGAACATCACAGCCCCTGCCCAAGCTCCTCACCCCTCATTCTACATGGCTCAGTGTGTGGGGGGGTGCACCTCCAAGGCCCCCAGACCAGCTCTGCTGCATCCCTCACACACAACCCTGGCATGACCCAGCCCAGGCACCCCACAGTAAATTATTCCACCTCAGAGAAGTCTGTGTCCAGCTCAATGTTGTTCATGATCAACTGCCCCTTGGGGCTCCCTCAGGGACCCCAGAAGAATGGGAGAAGGGTCCCAGTCCTGCCAACTGAGTGGGGCAGCCCAAGGGAGCAGGGTCACCCCAAGCTCTGGCTCTACCCCGTTCCAGCTGCCATGCCCAGAGCCTCAGGCTGGGCAGTCCAGACAAGCCAAAGGATGAAATTCCCAGCAGTCACAGGCATGGTTGGACACTCAGGCACCCCTGCCCCTCCAAGGACCCTGGAAGGGTGTCATGATGAGCAGGGTGAGGGGACAGAGGCATCACTGCTGCTGGAGCCCCACAGCTGAGTCTGACAGTGTTTGCCAGAGAGGTTTCTCCCTCTGTCATCCCAGGGGACAAATCTGCAGGCTGGGGCCTGGCAGCACATGTGAGCAGCCTGGCACTGAGCACAGTAGGGGGAAGATCCTGGACCAGACAGCCGCCAACTTTGGCCACTCCACACCCTATCACCTGAAAGCCCTGCCTGCAGCTCCCTGCCAGCCCTGCCCGGCTGCCAGACCTCCCACGCCACAGCCTCCCACCTCTTCCCAAAAGACTTCTGGTGCCACCCACTTGCACCAGGCAGGACCTTCCCAGCATCACAAGGACCAGGGCAGCTCTCAGCCTAGCCCCTCTGATGGCAGGAGGGTGCTGTTCCTTAGCTTGGCTCGACTCCCCCGGCTGCCCCCCAGTCAGTTAGCAAGGGGGTGTCCTGCCCACCCCAGTCCTGTTTACCCAGTGCACACATGTATCCACCCATCCCAATGGGGGAGGGAGGCCTGAGAGTGGACACCTGGATATTTACCCAGTGCCTGGCTGCCTGGCACTGCATCATCTCATCGCAGCTGGCCTGGCCACAAGGGAGCCTCTCGGGACAAGAGGGAAATTGAGGCTGTGGGATGTCTGCACTCACCCTCCTCCAGGCTGGCAGGACCACTGGGCACCTGCCCTGCACTGCACTGAGGTGACCCCTTCTCCCTCCGCCCTCCTTGGCATGGCCTCAGCCCCACCAGTGAGCCTCCAGAACCCCAAATGGCACTGACATCCTGCTCCTGCCAGGGAATGTGCCAGTGCCCCTGCCCTGCAGCCAGACAGGGACACATGGCAGTCAGCCCCTGCCCCAGCCTCACACCGGGGGCAGGGAGTTACTGCCCCCCCACCTCTCCCCAGCCACTGGGAAAAAAAAATGAGGAAAAAATTCAAATATCATTAGAAGGTATGTTCAGAGAGTGAGTGCTGAGCACACCACCACAGGAATAAACATTGTCAATTATGACATTTAACTGCGAAACTTAAAATGCATAAATAAAACTCCATCTCCCACAGCGCAAGTTTATCTGCAGTCCTCTGTATTCTGTGTCATTAGCATCTTTCCAGGGAGTGTTCAGACATACATGGCCATCATGCTCATTGCTCCAAGTGTTTTCTCTAGAAAGATAAGTAACTCCTCTGCCTCCCACGGTTGGCTGTCTGAGCTCTACAGCTCATCCTCCTCAGCCCAGTACTTAACCCACTGCAGACACATACACAAACACAACCCCACAGCTCTTGGGGTGCTACACAGCCCTCCTCACTGCTACAGCTGCTCCACTGCCCCCAGTAACTGCTGAGCCAGTCCCCCTGCACACACAGCATAACCCAGACACCCTCATCATCAATGCCAAATCCAGCTTTCCCCCAGATTTCCATGGGAAGGGGTTTATGATCCACAGCCAAGAGGAACTGCCCCATACGACTCCCACACTGGTGGGATGTACAACCTGCAGCAAGCTCTGGGCTCCAGTGACTTCTCAGACTGGTGGGTGTCACAGCTTGGTGGGCACTGCCAGCCCAAGAGCGTTGGCCCCCCCAGATTCCCTGGCTGGGGGGAAGCTGCAGCTGGCTGGCAGAGACCCAGGTCGTGGCGGTTCCCAGCTGCACAGCAGCCAGGGTCACATTCCCGGAATAGCTGAGAGCTTTGCTGTTCACACAGGAAAAGGTCATCCTTGTGCACACAGGCAGCTGGTGGGACCACTGCATGGGTAGGGCAGGGGAAGGAGCAGCCACGGAAGGCAGAGGAAGCCCAGCAGCTCCTGTCAGAGCTGAGGTGTTCCCTGGCTCCAGCCCAGCAGGATCCAGCCCTGGCACAGCCAACGGGTGGCTGCACACAGCTCTGAGCAGGGAGTAAATAAGGCTACAGCAGGACAGAAGATGGAAACTCCAGTAAAGCACGGAGAGCTGGTGGCAGAGACACACCATTTCTCCATGAGCACCTGCAGGGCCAAGGCCATAGAGGTATCAGAGTCACCTGGGACTGGGACAGCTTTCACTAGGACAAGACAAGAGCCAGCTAAGGACAAGAAATTTATTGGTCATTCTCTATATGCAATTATATATTAATCTGTATTAGAAAGCAGCAGTCACTAAGTGCACAGAGCAGCACCAACTCCTGCCTCTTCTCACACTGGAGACACGGCCACACAGCCCAGCCCAAACTCACCCTCCTCTGCACTACAGCCAAATCCAGGGGTAAAAGACTAAACCTGCAGGTGGTGAGGCCAAGGAGCACAGGAGTGACCAGCAGGGTGTCAGCTGACCAGGACCAAGGACCACATCTCCTGGAGGTGCAGGTAGAGTTCTGACTTGATCCCAAAAATACAGTCATTTATAGCACAGTGCTGGGAAAGGTAGGGACAGAGCCCTGAGGTTGTTCCACCCCAACCAGGAGGTGAAGGGAAAGATGGCTCCTCCATCACTGAGCCAGGCCACAGGGCCTGGGCAAGCACATGGCAGGGTGCAGCAAGTGCCAGAGAGCACCCAGGGCTTGGAGCAGCTGCAGGGATGGGGCACAGCCATGGACAATATTCCACCACAGGGACTCAGCCTTTGCGTGGCAAGGAGAGCTGGTCAGGCCCTAGCCTGGCACTAGCAGGAGGAGCAGAGAGTGAAAGCATCCTCTGTCTGGGGAATGCCACGCTGGGATCCAAACAGTCCAGGTTCCTGGTGGCAAGGGTGCCTGCCCGCTGTCCCAGGTGTCAGGCAGTGCAGGCCACAAGAGCTGGGTCTGTTTCATCACTTGATGAGCACCTGGTTGCACAGAGCACACACAAACACCGTCTCCCTCTGAGCCTCGGGGGCTGGAAAGGAAAGCAGGCGTCAGAGATGCTCCCCCTTTCCCACCACAGGCTAGGGACCCCAGCCACAGAGCTGCTCGGAGAGCTGCAAACCCATTGCTGCTCTGCCCTGAGCCAGGCTGCACTGGGCAGGTCCTGTCTACCCTCCCCACCAGGGCTGGGGCAAATCCTGGGGCAGACAGCACAGGTGGAAGCAGGAACTCTGCCCTCCTCCACCTTTCCACTCACCCGTGGCTCCCATCACAGCCTTGGGGACTTTGAAGGAACAACACCTGGAGCAGAAGCTGTTCCCACAGTTACTGCAGCTCCTCTGTGGAGAGAGATGGAGGTGAGTCCCAGGTGTATATTGGACTAACTCAGGAATAAGGGAAGGGCGCCACAAGTCTGCAGAAGGGGAGGCAGCAGGAAGACAGCAATTTGAGCCTGGAGGGGACAGGAGATATATCCTTCCCAGAACTACCCAGGGACTGTGTGCCAAGTGTCACACATAGGGGCTCAGATAAGGCAACAGGATGGTGTTTGTTTCTGTCATTCCCACAAGCAGACCCATGCTCTGCTTCACCAGAAATCTCTCAGGCCACAAGTCATGGACTAAACCAGGACACAGAGCTACAACAGCACATGTGGGTTTGGTCTGAGTTAGCTTCCAAAGGAGTAAAGGGACAAATGCTCCACAGTGCAAGGGATTCCTGGCACCATTAAGCACATGGCAACACCCAGCACTTAGCTGAGGTCATCTGGGCTGAGACCAAGGCCAGACACCTGAGCTGCTGGAGAAAGCCAGGGCAAGCCAGACATGGGCAACACCTCTGCCCCAGGTGCACCCAGCAAGCTGGGGTAGAAGCCAAAGACTCACCCTCTTCTTGAGCACAGAGAAGGTGGCTGCACAGCCCGTGCAGCTCCCTGAAAGAAAGAGAGCAGAGGTCAGACAGGGCTCTGATGCCTGGAGCTGTGAGCGGTAGAGGAACACCCACAGCTGTTGTAAAGGTTTCGCTTGGAGATGACGTTCCTGCACCTTCCCATCCTCGCCTTTCCTAGGTAGGGCTGGGAACATACTCCCCATGGAGAGGGGAAGGTCACTGGAGGTGTCAGCACAGCCCTGGCAGGTACTGCACCACTCTGTCCACTTCAAGTCTCATGGTCACCACTGCAAGCAGCACAGATCCCTCTGCTGAGCTCCCCCAAGCAGCACCTGCTCCCAAACTCACCGAAGTTGTTGCTGGGGTAGCGCTTGCGCAGGCGCTCGGTCAGACGTGACACCTTGCTGCGGATCACTTCGTTTTTGCTCATAAAACCATTGTCCGGGAGGCTGAGGTCAAAATCGGTTGAGCACTGAGAGCTCTCGTCATCCTCCTGCAGAGAGCAGAGCAGTGGCTGGGGCCATGCCAAGGGCTGCAGGGCAGCCCACCCCAGAGACGGGTACCCAACAAGCAGGATGCTCCACCTGGCATCACCACAAGCCACTGGCAAACCAAGAAAAGGTTGCCAGCCCCAGTGGGAGGAGATGCTCCTCTTGCACGCCTTGGCATGGCAGTACTCACCATGACCAGCAGCTGGTTCTCCTTCTCCCGCAGCATGGGAAGAGATGAGGGTGAGCATAGACGGAGTCAGAGGCACCCAGCCCCACAGCCACCCTCTCTGAGCACCCAGCTTGCCCACCAAGGCCCTTTCCCACCTCAGCTGCCCTTCAGGCACAGCCCACCTCCCACCAGGCTCAAACCTCAATAGCATCTTTGAACTCTTCATCAGGTTCTGCCTCCTCTGCCTCCTCCACGCTGCCAGGGGTAAGGTCCTGCAAGAGATTCACATAGCTAGTCCAGCTGTTCTCCTGCCTCTGTTCAAAGGTGGACCCACATTCCTGCAGGAGGTTCCAGGACAATGGACCAGGCCTTGGGCAGCCCTATGAGAAGACACGAGTCCCTGAAGGTGAGATGAGGCCCCATCTCCCCAGACCACATCCTAACACGTGGCAAAAGGACTTGAGCCAAGCCCCCAGGGCAGCAGAACAGCCTCCCAATAACTCAAGAGTAGTTCACAGGCTTCCAGCAAAGCTGGCAGCTCGAACAAGTTTGTGGGTAGAGGGACACAGGCACGGTCAGCCCCAAGGGGCTGACTCTGCAACTCCCACGGCCCAGCTGCCAGCCCTGTCCCTATCTCACCTCTGCGCTGGTGGGTGTGGGGGTCCGATCTGGGGCAGCAGCTGCTGGCAGGGGTTCAGCAGGCTCTGGAGTGCTCTCGAGGGGCTTGGTGCCCACACACTGCTCAATCGAGGCCTTGAGCTCCATTATCACTGGTAAGGGGAGAAAGCAGCTGGAGTAGGGTGGCACTTCCCTTCTCCCAGCCCCACCACACAAAAGCCGTCTCCAAGAGTTGATCTCCAGGGCCCAAGGTGGGACATTGGCACATACAACCTTGACCCCTCAGGTACTCTGAGCCCCTCTTTGCTCACACATCAAAGTTAGGGCAGTAAGGAACCCCTCCAACACCTGCCCCAGCTCAGGATAGGGAACAGAAGGGGCCTTAATTACAGCTCAGACACATCCAATGCTCCTCCAGCATGTGCCACAGAACAGGGAGTGCCTCCAGCTCCTCTCTCTTCCAATGGCATGTTTTCAGACCTGTGTCATACATTGCCACAGGCACTGAACACGTTTCAAGTCCTGAAGAGCAGGGTCAGGGAACTGAGAGGGGTGGTAATGCTCATGCACAGGCTGCATTAGCAGGCCATGGTTTGCCACAGCACAGAGAAGAGAACAGCACTCAGGCTGGGACACACATCAGGAAAGAATCTCACCTCCAACAGCTAAGCCCTGGGACCACACCACACACCCTGGGCTGTTGAGCACCATCACAGGGCACTGTTGCCCTCGGGAGGGGGGTTCAAGCAGAGCCTGACACTGTGCACATGGGAGGGTGCTGGGAGAAGCCCAGGGCAGGATCCCTGGCCTCAGAGGGCCTTTCCCCAACCCATCCCACACAGGACACTTCCAGAGAGTTCTCATACCTTGGTAGAACTGGGTGTTGCCCAGGAACAGGGTGCTGTTGACGATGGCCAGGACCCAGCAGAGGGGCAGTAGGTAAAGGACACAAACAGTGCCCAGCAGTGCCCCATAAAACCTACAGAAACCAGCAGGATACTGCAGTCAAGTTGGAGCAACTCACACCACAGCATAAAACCCCTTCCTTCATCTGGTGTTCCACTTGCTCTCTCCAAGTACCAAACACATCAAATACAGCTCCGAAGGCCCCCTCTCACCACCAAGCCCGCCACAGGGTGTCTGACCCAGTACTACTCACTGGGAAGAGACAGTGGGGTTCTCCCAGTACAGCACACGGTACACGGCCTCACAGCTGCAACACATCCCGCTCAGAAACCCCTCCAGCTGGATCAGGCTGTGAATAAGACCTCAGAGTCACAAAAAAGCCTCACAAACACACACTCTGACTCCCCCCCACGGGTTACAGTGGCCAGACTGGCACAAACCCAGACTCTCTGCAGAACCTCAGAGAAGCCTTCTCGGCTGCAGAGGTCCCCACAGCCCCGGAGCTGGGGCAGCCCCAGGGACTCACAAGCTCTTGACCTGGGCGATGGCCTCCTGCCGGGAGAGCTGCACCTTGCGCAGGTCCTCCCTGCGGATGCTGTGGTACCTCCTGCGCACCAGCTCCGGCTCCGAGGGCCGGGCCCGGCACGACTCCTGCAGGTAGCCCAGCAGGGCCGGCACCGCGACCAGCAGGGCGAGCATCGAGTACCAGGCGGCTGGAAGAGGTGGGACAGCGTCAGCCCGGGGGGTCCGGGGAGGGGACCGGCCTCGACCCCCGACACGCACCTTGTCCGAGGGTGAGCAGGAGGAAGTTGAGGCCGAGGCAGACCAGGAGGGAGCACACGGGCCGCTGCCACCTGCCGAGACAGGGGGAGGCGAGGGACGTGAGGCCCCGGGGACGATCTCGGTACGGGTCCCAGCCCACCCCATACCTACCTCAGGAGGGAGCGGACGCCCTCGGCCGCGTCCCGCAGCGGCTCCAGGTACAGCTCCAGTCGCCGGTAGCTCCGCACCAGCTCCAGCAGGTCGAAAGCGGCGGCGGCCTTGGGCGG